TTGATAATCTTTAACACAAAAAAATTGTTACAACCTAGTACTACTTACATGTTGCAAGGAACAGCCTTAAAACAGATTAACTTTTAATTACTTTAGGACGATATTTAAATCTACTGCTGTAATTGAATAAAATAAGAAGATCGACTGGTTGACAGACCAGACAAGAGGGGTGGCCTGTTTGAATATCTGGGCTACCTGTTCCTGCCATCTAGATATTTCAACAAGTTATCTGTCCCCTTGTTTTTTTCGCAGATCATTATATCAAATAATTGCATAACTTATTCAGGTGCGTTTGTGAAAAATTTACGACCTTTCGCTGCACAAGTTACAAAAATGTTCAATCGGAGACATCATGATGCCTGGCAATATGCATGGAAAAGGGTGAATATTACTCAGATGTGGACTTTTGCAATGCTAATATTTGACTGGCGATCACTCAATACTTATCATCAATATCTATCAAAGTATAAGAAACGGAAACTCGCTGAAATACTTTGTGCTGAGAATTCTATTTTGTACCAAAAACATGATATTGAATAAACCTCATAATAAATAAAATAAGTAAATATACTCCACCATGTTTCAACCTTCCCCATTAGTAAAATAACCAAGACCACTGAATCTTCAGCTGTAATTTTAGTCAGTCAGTCAGTCAGCTACAACGTAGGACCAGGCATATATGTGCATCGGTCCAGGTTGCCATACCGCATCAGCACAACAAGATGAACACCGGATTCATAGCAGTGGTTAGGTCAAAGGTAGTAATATATAAGAGAAAGATTGCATATAGAGATATAGTACAAGAAGAAAGAATTGGTCCGTAGAAGGAAAGATATGAAGTGATTTTAATCTCTTAGTTTAAGGGAAGACAGGGAGTGTATACACCGACGCCATTGTGATCGATTCTCAGCCATGTCACTCACAGTCTCCAACCATTGATTACGATAGTCACGCGGACCCCAACCAAGTAGTCTGCATTTACCAACATGGCTCAGACTAGAAGTTAGTGACTTCAAGGACTGATGCCACGTTTTGGTTTGGCCGCCCCTAACTTTCTTCCAACCATTTCCAATACCGGATAGCATTGCACGTCGTGGTAATCGGTGTTCAGGCATACGTAACACGTGGCCCAACCATCTCAGTCGATGAAGATTCATAACCTCATCAACAGATTTACCATCATTCCCTAATACCCTGCGTCTAACCTCACTATTACTTACCCGGTGATCCCAGCAGACGCCAGCAATATTTCTAAGGCATCTGTGGTCAAATACTAATAGCTCACGAGTGTCTCCTACTATTAATGGCCATTTTTCGCTGCCGTAAATTAAAACAGAACGGACTGCCGCGCATTATACTCGTCCTTTTATTGATAGACGGATATCTCGCCTTCTCCAGAGGTGACGTAAGTTGGCAAAAGCCAAACGAGCTTTCCAAATTCGTGCTGAGATTTCGTCAGACATCAACCCATTAAGGCTGATCAGACTTCCAAGATAAGTGAAGTTGTCAACGTGTTCGACTACTTCACTCCCTATCCTTAGTTCAGGTGTTGACGCAGACCAGTCCTGAAGCAACAACTTGCATTTAGAGGGAGAGAAGCGCATTCCAAACATTCTGGCATTGTTGCTTAGTGCTACCAAAAGACTCTGCATTTTATCAGCGTCTTTACCAAACAGGACTATATCATCTGCGTATTCTAAGTCGATAAGTGGACCTCCTGGAAGGAGATCAATACCCGAGAATGTTGTTTCTATCAATAAGTCCATGATGAAGTTAAAAAAATGGAGAAAGTGGACAGCCTTGACGGACACCACTTGAGGTTGCAAAAGCAGATGACAGTCCGCCATAAGCTCTGACTCGACTGGTAGTGTTCGAGTAAAGAGACTTCACAAGGTTTATGTACTTCTGAGGTACGCCTTTCAATGACAGACTCTGCCAAAGAATCTCGCGGTCTACGGAGTCAAATGCTGCTTTTAAGTCAAGAAAGACCACCATTGTCGGACACCGATAAGTATGCCTATGTTCTAGAACCTGACGAATGATGAATATGTGGTCGATGCAGTCACGATCAGGTCTGAAAGCAGCCTGATTCTCTCGTGTTTGCAGCTCACGAGTCTTAGTTAGGTGTCCGATAATTATCGAGGCTAGTAGTCTCGATACTATATTAGTTAAACTAATCCCTCTATGGTTGTCACAAGATGATTTTAACCCTCTTTTATATATTGGGACGATAAGTGATTGTGACCAGTCAGATGGAATAACGTCTAACTCCCAGATTCTAGCTAAAATATTAGTCAACTTAATCGCTAAAATTGGACCACCATCCTTAAAGACCTCTGGAGCCAATCCATATTGACCAGCTGCCCTTCCACGTTTCAGATTAGCTATAGTCTTTTGGACTCCTGCTAGAGTTGGGGGACCTATTTCAATGTTCCATTCACACTGTCTGGGAATGGAGGGTAGTTGTAGAGTAGCTGAAGGCCAGCTGAACTGTTCTCTGAAATGTTCCGCCCATCGTTCTAAACGCCTGGACTGGGAGCAGATGAGTGTATTGTCTTTTTCCGATATAATCTCACTTACACTTGACTTATTAATTCCAGTTTCTTTTATTAGTCTGTAAAGCTGTCTTGTGTTCCCTATAGTCGCCGCCTTTTCCATCTCTTTTGCTTTCGTTGCCCACCACTGCTCACGGTCGTTTCTTAGACTTTTTCTTAACCTAGATCTGATTAGTTGTCGCTCTTCCTCATGTTCGGAACCTGATGGGACGAGTTTGCGAGAATCCATCAGTGTGATAGACTGAAGAGATCCACTGGTTCTTTGTAACTCTGAGGTTTAAGTCACTAATAGATTTCATTGCTGTTTCCACAGCTGTTTGTATATCTTTCCAAGCAACATCTGGGTCAGCCTCGTTTTCAGAACTACCTAATTGTGACCTCAGTTGTTCCTGGAACCTACTTTTGGTTTCCTCGCTACCCAGTTCGGTTCTAATGGGTCTTTTTACTGTGGCTTTTTTGCGTCCAGTGAGGCGCAAGCAGATGCGTGCCCGTATTAGGGCGTGGTCGGAGTCCAAGCAGGTACTCCAGAATGAGCGACAATCTTGTACCGACCCTCTCCAACGATGACTGATGGCAATATGGTCTATTTGAGTCCATCGTTGGTTTGGTGTAGGGGGTCGCCACGTTAGACGATGTTTCTCCTTATGCTTAAAATTTGTGTTTGCTAAAAATAAACAATTGTCTGAGCACAGTTGCAGCAGACGGTCACCATTATCTGTTCGCTGTGCCGGAATGCTAAAATATCCACCTAAATGCCTTTCTGTTTGGTTTAAGCTACCTATCTGAGCATTAAAGTCACCTCCTACGAGTACTATGTCTGAGCGTTTAGCTTTCTGAAGAAGTTCGGACAGCTTTCTGTAAAATTCATCTTTCACATCATCTGAGCTGCAGTCAGTGGGAGCGTAGGTGGAAACGACGAAAATGCAACGACGTGTGTCCCTATCCTTCCGAGTTCTTACGGAGCCGTTTAGCCGAACAGCACATAGACGACTGTTGACGGGGATCCACTCTAGCAGTGCTTGTTCCGCCCTCATGTTTAGTGCTATGCCTACACCTGCCAGTCCACGAGAACTGGCCATCGAGTCACCAGATACACGGAGGGCGTATCTCGTTGGCTCTCCGTTTTGCCGAGGTGAGGTCAAGTGAATGACCACACTGGAATCCTGTATGCGTGTTTCAGAGACACAGCATACATCAATGGAAAGAGACTCTAGGGTTTTAGCCAAGGAAGCCTGTTGACCGATTTGACATAGAGTGGGTACGTTGAAAGCTCCAATGTGTAATTTGGAGCGAGGTTTTAGTAGACCTGGGACAGAGTTTTGAGCACTAGAATCGTTGGCTATGGTGACACTTGAGGAGGAAGCCGAAGGAGGAAGTTTAGGGTTGAAAGTCGATGTAGGAGGAATAATAGGAATTGAAGAGGAAGGTTGATTATGAATACAGTGGTCTTGGGTGCTGTTAGAGGTATGAGGGCGGTTATCACTTCCCGGTTGCCCACACCATGGAAAGGTTCTTCTGGAGGTACCTGAAAAGGATATTGGATTAGAGGCGGTCTCAGTGACCTGAGAGCGTGACCGCAGTGCCCAAGGGACAACTGCTTGAGGCCGGTCGCGCACGGCCTTTTCGTGGGAGGTTTTTGACGTGTTAGCTCCGTTCTTCAAAGGGCCTTACCGCCGGAGACGGAAATCCGTGAGGTAAGGTGAGGTGCGCATTTTTAGGGTCGACTTTTTCTAACCCCACCCCTCCTTGTGGGAAGGCAGCATCGCTGTCATGCTGGTTGTCTGGAGGAAACACCTTACTGCTGTCACACCTCTGTACAGTCAGCAGTACGACTTCGCCTTCGGACCTTGGGTTTGTTGCTTTTAGTCTTACCGCTCTTCAACCGACCTGTCTGACATGGTAGGACCTTGAGGAACGGTTGTTCCAGCCAGTATAGCTCGGTTGCTTCATCATGATAGGCAAGCCCGACCACCACGTCAAGGTAGCAACAACGGTCGGGTGTAATTTTAGTACGGTTCTACATGTAAGCAACCCAAAGCCCTTAAAAGTTCCACCATTAATAACTTCTTAAACACATATACTTCTCGTCTGTATTTAGTCTGAGAACTTAGAAAAAATATATTGAGAAACAACAAATGGACATAACGATCCCTAGTTGAGACAAGCAGAAACTAAAAAAGAATATTTAGTAGCTTTCGTATTTTTTCTTCCAGTGTCAAATATTCCTAGGTATGTACACAGGTTCTGAAATACATGTTTTTTACACATGAAAGTCAATAATTTACAAATAAAAGTAAACCTCAAATTTAAACCAACGAAAATAATTTTCACAAAGAAGTGGAATATGTACAACACAGAATGTTAGGAATGAAGTAAAGAGTAAATAGAAGACATTGGTTCCACATAATCTCTCCAAACAATGTCCCCAAATACAGGTATTAATAACTGGGAAAATTTCAAAAGCAGTGGTCAATAATTAAGAGTCAAATAAAATATAAAAAACTCTATGAACATGGTTATCAAAAACCCTGATCCTTTTTCTGTTCTCCTCTTCATTTTAAACTACGTTGTACAAATGCAGGGTCGCACGGTTCATCAGTCGTGCAAGTAGCAGGTTTTGGTGTTTGAAGGCGTCCAAAATGACTTAACGGCCATACACGGAGAAATACTTTGTACTCTAAGTGAGAAATGGGGACGGGGCCATAAGACCTTGAGTCTAATGACTGTAATGTATTGTCACCTTCTAACCAAACATGACCTCGAGGTACCTGAGAGGATAGAGGAGAGTCAATACATTAATAATTTTTTCACATTGCTACCATTCTATACGTTACTTCAAACTAAGACAAATTACTAAGGGCGAAAAAGCATAGCCATGAATGAGGAGAAGTTCGAATGCCATAATGACTTAAACTGTCACGTTAAAAGGGTGTTTTTAGACTAGTAAAGCTTCTTAATTCCACTGGTAGTGACAAGAAAAAAGAGATCAAAATCATCAGTCATAGTGTAGAAAATGAGAACTAAGATGGAAGTAACAACTCCGTAAGTACCTAAAATGAAACAGGGTAGATACCATAACCTTAACGATCAGTTTTATTCAGTCTTTTGTGGTTTACAGTTGCTGATCTTAATTATACTAGTTACTCGTGAAAATCTCCCCCCGAATGCTCTGGTACGGTTGACGGACAGGAAAGTCCTCCCTCCCGAGGTGCTAACACAAAGCCACGCGTGTTCAGCTACTTCCGAGGAAGTCCTACCTACTGCCATCTTGCGGTAGGGTTAGCGTTTGCGAAATTGCGAGGACAAAAAGCGAATATCTGACGTTTTAAGCGGTTTGATAGGTATGGAAGATCCACCTAGAAAGCTGGGAAGTTCTGATTCTAAACCTATGGTGCACATGGACTCGGGGATCCTGAGGTAACAAATAGCGTGTTAACCTATTGATTACCGTCTACCATGGACTGCATCTCATAACGTTGTTCCACTGCCTAGTAGCCCAGACCTTTAGGTCAAAGACCCGAAGAGTGGCCCCTAGGAAAACCACCTGCTCCGGTTTAGGTGCACTGGTAGAATCTCAACACTCGCAAAAACCGACTGAGGAGTTATAGTGCGTATATATTTGGTGACCTCTTGTACCAATGTTTATGTGTATAAATAAAATAAACTCGTAAAAATCAGTTTTACAATGACTGACTTTATTATTCAAGTTAGTAACCCAGTTCGAATATCCGTAGAATTAATTTACTATGTACAAAATAACTGACTTAAAAATTTAACCAATAAGTCGAAATAAACTGGTTGAGGATGTACAATATACGTCTGTATCCCATGTTGGTAGACGACTAATATAACCAAAGACTCATTTGTTTTTTATGCAACAGCAAGAATCAGATTTTAAATGTTTAACAGGCGGCTACATGAGGCAGAGATAACACTTTAAAAACATTAATAATTAACTACTCATGTGTCTCCAACCATTATTAATCATATGAAACAGGAACTACTAACTTGGGGTACTGTTAATAGTGAAATGTTAAACTATGAAGGAGGAACAAGTGTTCAGCTCAATTAAAAACTACATTATTGGAACTATGGTAAAAGATGAGAGGAATTTCTTAACTTAAAACTGTACACAAATTTATGTAGCCTTAGGTTATTAACCATAGATGTGGATAGTGGTTTGGTTTTATTAGTTAGTTTGTGGGTAAACCAAAACTGACCATTAGAGACCTGTGATGATATAACTTAATTAAAGCAAATATTTGCTCAAAAACATTTTGTGCATCTTACGAGTCCTAATATTCCATTCTGCTTTTCTTTTGTTCCCCCCCCCCATTCTTAATTCGTTCACTGGCGATAGCACCTCTCTTTTGATATTTATACTGCAATATTGCTCTAAAAAATCAATGAAAATCTTGACGAATAAAACAAGACCTGATTTCTTTCGCAAGTAACGACTTTATCGCCTGTATTTACCTGACGTGCACGAGTAAAGGCTGGAAGGGTGTTTCTGAATGGAGACATCTTATATAGTAAAGGCAGGTCTGTTCTAATCGATTTCCACGTTCGTCGAACTTTTGGTGATCGATGAGACCATAATTTATGGACCTTTGAGCGACGCTGGACTGACCTTGATAGTGTCCACCTAATAAATAGGGCCAAGTGAGGTTTATAAAACTCTGTGAGGACTTCGAATTGTGATTTACAATTGACGGTTAAAGTTAGGAATTATATTTACGGTCTTCATCGAAATCAGCTATAATGTCAAAACTCTATTTTGTCAAATTGGTGGGTGAAGTTCGTGCAAAGATCCGAGACCTGTTGTTTTATACCTGATTGGTTCGTCCATAAATTATAGTCTCGCATTTTTTCATTATTGTATCTACGGCACGCTTTTAATATTACGACATAACTCGTAGAAACCTGAACTCCTAATTTTGGGGAAGCCTCTACAGTGAACTTTGGGGAAATGGCACTAAAACCCCAAAATTTCCCCAGACCTGGGGAAACTCCCCAATATTTCCCTTTAACCTTGGTGAAGGTCATTTGACTTTGGTAGTTTCCTCAAACTTGGGAGATTGGGAAGAGGTAAGTAGGTTCGTGGCGATTTACCGTAACCACACATTACTGACGAATTCTGAGAAGTGCTGTCTTTACCTGCTTAGCGATGATTTCCAAATTACTCTTGTCCCAGAAAGTAACTCGGTCATCGCCAAGACCTTTGATACGCTTTAGCACATACGTAGTATCATACTTTTTGCGTTGACCAGCAATCACAACATCTCCTCTATAAATAGAATGATTTTTTGGGTGAATTATACCTTCTAATACGTCCCAAAATGATTGAGAGCCTTTCAACAACTAGATAGTCACCATCGTTAACAGTAGGTTGCATACTAACACCGTCACACTAAAAATATAGGCAAGCATTTGTTCGAAACTTGCGTTAACTATTGTACCAACAAGTGAATGATATTTGTAAGTTATTATACCAGTGCTTAAGGCTATTATTCCCCGAAATACTCCGATCGGTAGCCTCTTCAGCATTGACCTTGAGTGGTTAAATCTCGGCATAAGTGCAAGGACACTTCGGGTGTAGAAAAAACATGCAGTGTCATCTAAAGCAATGGATACGGCATATCCAGCTTCCTTATAATAAAACGTGAAGTCACGATTACTTTTTGACGTTTGTAAGGAATTATTAACAATAAGTTCATTCAAGCCCCAATATTGTAAAATTAAGCATTAACATTACCTGCCATTGGTACAGTCTTCAGTTCTAACTGGAAAAAGACAGACGTCTGAGCGGGTTATGTTATTCTCGGCAGTGGCTTGGACGTTCTTCTTAGATGATCGAGAGATGGAACTTCAATCGTGTGTTGAGTTCATGAGTTCCATTCGTTTGTGGTTCGCTGGGAAAGTAACCTTCCTTCCATCTATATGACAAAGGAAATACATTTAGTTCGGACAGCCTCTCGTTATACGGCAGCTATGTCATGCAGAGAATCAATCATCATGAGGCATCATAGCCTTCATAAATGAAGATGCTTGGTTAGAGATTTTTAACGAGGTTGTTTTCTACGGGATCGAGTTGGTTACCTTATGCCCAACCCTCTTCCTTTATCCGAATGTGGATCAGTGATCCAAAAAACACAATGATGGATAGTCTCGCAATGTAGTGAGTTGATTAAGGTTAGCCATTAACACCGTCAGATGCCTCATCAATGGTCTTAAAGTTTAGCGTCCATGCTAGAGATCAAAGATGTTGAGTTAGGTTGTGGCGTGAAAAGTCGTAGATGCCCGCTGTTGAATAGCCTGAAATCAGAACGGAATGGCCATACAGCGCTTCCAGGTTTTCACTGGCAGTCTAACTTAGGTCGGTTCATGGCATGACATTCAACATTCCCCAAAACACTTTAGTGACAATTAATAAGGGCCTGTTTCAAGTACGTCCTGTTAATTTTATCAGTATTTCTGTCAGTTATGCCCATAATTAATCAATGAAATCGTTGTTTAAGCGCCCACCACGTTGATCTATTCGGATGTGTTTGCAAAGTATCTCTGTTGCATGTGACCTACCACTTTGGAAATATTATTATACTAATACATTATTGTGAGATTTGGGATGAGGAACAAGTACCAACAGACTGGAAAGAAGGACTACTGATCAAAATACCGAAGAAAGGCGATCTCAGCAAGTCTGATAACTACAGGGGCATCACTCTTCTCTCAATACCGGGAAAAGTCTTCGACAGGGTATTGTTAAACAGGATGAAGGACTGCGTAGACGCCCAACTTCGTGACCAACAGGCAGGATTCCGTAAGGATAGATCGTGTACAGACCAAATCGCAACTCTACGGATAATTGTGGAACAATCAATTGAATGGAATTCATCACTCTACATCAACTTCATTGACTACGAAAAGGCATTTGATAGCGTGGACAGAACAACACTATGGAAACTTCTTCGACACTACGGCGTGCCTCAGAAGATAGTCAATATCATACAGAACTCATATGATGGATTACACTGCAAAATCGTACATGGAGGACAGTTGACAAAGTCGTTCAAAGTGAAGACCGGTGTTAGGCAAGGTTGCTTACTCTCACCCTTTCTCTTTCTCCTGGTGATCGACTGGATCATGAAAACGTCAACGTCCGAAGGAAAGCGCGGGATACAATGGACATCTAAGATGCAGTTGGATGATCTAGACTTCGCAGATGATCTGGCCCTTCTATCCCAAACGCAACAACAGATGCAGGAGAAGACGAACAGTGTAGCAGCAGCCTCAGCAGCAGTAGGTCTCAAAAATCATTCAAAAATCCATTCTCGTATTTGACTTGTTTAATTCCGTTATTCACTTATACGATCGAAGTCGATAATTATATACGAGGATAGACGATATGTATATTTCAATAACGTTCATACAATCCAGTCGGAGTCAGATAAGGGTTCACTAAAATTATTACCAAATAATAATAATACAAATTTCAAGACAGTTCTACTGTATGGGGCAGAAACTTGGAGAACTACAAAAGCTATCATCCAAAAGATACAAGTGTTTATTAACAGTTGTCTACGCAAAATACTTCAGATCCATTGGCCGGACACTATTAGCAACAACGTACTGTGGGAGAGAACAAACCAGATCCCAGTGGAGGAAGAAATCAGGAAGAAGCGCTGGAAGTGGATAGGACACACATTGAGGAAAGCACTCAACTGCGTCACAAGACAAGCCCTCACATGGAATCCTGAAGGTCAAAGGAAAAGAGGAAGACCAAAGAACACATTACGCCGAGAAATGGAGATAGACATGAGAAGAATGAACAAGAATTGGATGGAACTAGAAAAGAAGGCTCAGGAGAGTGGGTTGGGGAATGCTGGTTGGCGGCCCATGCTCCATTGGGAGTAACAGGCGTAAGTAAGTAAGTAAGTAACATTATTGTGACTCATAATTTTTTTCATTTCGATAAGACACGCCATATGTTTGTGTGTTTCACTTAATAACTGTAATTTTTTAATTGTTGTACTAATCTAATTGTTTTTATGTTCAGAAACAGATAAAGTTTAAAGCCAAGTTGTCCTTGTTCTGACTATAACTTTCACATAAACTCTGTGCTCGCCAGCATCGCGTTGACGGTTCTAGTAGTATATCTGTAAGACAAATTAAATACTACAATTTCAGGTTTTGATTTCTCAGCACTTTTTAAACTAGAAAATATATTTCTCTCGTAGGTTTATTTATCCACAGTTTAATTTTAATTTGAAGGAGTCACTATGCTTTGTACTATTTTTATAGAAATAAGGTAGATTTGCTCCCAGTTGTGAACTGAGCAACATTTACGTTGTTTACTTTGCGATAATGCGTTATAGGTCAGATTATTATCGCTACATCCAACCGCAATTTTCATGATCGATTTCATCGACTAAACAAATTTATAACAACCTATTTCGTGCGGTTAAGAGTTGTTCGAAGACTTCTTGATTTATAGCCTCTGTTTAACCTGCTACTCACAGCTAGCTTACATGCTGAACAATTCTAAACTTCCCTCTGTAGGACTACTATGAATAACTCGATCAATATGTAATCAGAACATCGAGTTCAGAGTAAGTCTCTGACAGCTACGCTCGAACCGAAACATCGTCAGTTGTCCGCAAGAAATTCATGAAATCACCACCATTGTCACGCGAAACATTTTTTGATCATCATAATAATATCTGCTTTTGCTCTCAAATAGCCCTCAGATCAACTTTTTCTTTGTGAGTGTTAAGAGCTCAAAAAATTTCAAGGAATATCAAACAGGACATGACTGATGTATGGTCAGGTTTATCGGTCATACAACAAGTTAAAAGCTACCATGTTAATTACCTGAATTTGTCTATTATTGGGATGTATGTTACTTATACAGACAAATATAAGCGATGTGTAGCACCAGCTGAAAACGGGATGGCTGTCAGTAAGAGATCGAAATGAGGAGAACAGGAAGAAAATCAGACAGCAGTCAAAATAAAGACAGAATTAGAGGAACAATCGCGTACGTAAGGGAGAGCGCAAAGAAGATGTACAAATGATGCATTTAATGTGTGATCATAGTTCATTAAGCCACAGTACGATATAACGTTGAGCAATAACTTGGTTTTCCACACCTGATTTCTCGTTCACTACACTATTTCTACTACACATTAATGATAAGAAACTATAACCTAAAAAGGAAATAGTCTTGTATTCAGCCGAAGCTAATTAAGTGTTTAAATAAAAAGCATAGAAAGCTCACTTGAAACTTTTGACCTATATATCAAACCTTGTCGTATCATAACTTTTATTTTAATGGTGTTTAATATTCAACCGGACTATTTGATTGTGTGTTAGAAAAATACTGAGCAACTCTTTTTAGAATTAGAAAAAAGTAAAGTTAATCTTTATTTAGCAATTAATATTAGTTCCAAAGCATTCAAAGTTCATTTGTTCTGAACCAGGGCATACACGGCCACCATTTCTAGGTGCTGGTGAGTTGCATTTTCTATATCGACTACGTGTGCCCAATTTCGATGCACATTTTGAATTACAGTTACTCCAATTTGACCATCTCGACCATGAACCATCACCTGCAAGATAAAATGTTAACTTATTATCTGTATTATATAGTGATAAAAGCGCTTTCCTCGATGAATTTGTCTCATTGAATAAGCTTTATTTGTTCTAACTCTTTATTTTACAGTAATCATTAGTTCACTTAAAGGCCTGGAAGTTTTGGAAGCTAAAATACGAGCCATATATATGAGTGTTGTGACATGAAATAAAGGTGACCTCTCATTAGCAGTAATAAAATGGTGATAGAACAAACTTATAACATAGAATTTTAAGGAAATTCAGTCGGAACTAGTTGATAATATCTATTTTCAAATAATCATGTTATTAAATCTATTGGTAAAATAATTTTTCCCGATGAGATTTAATAATGTATTGCTGAAATCAAGTGGATTAAGTAATGTTCATTTTTATATCAGTCGACTGTATTGACTAAACTAGGTTTTCAACATTCTAAGTAGCTACTGTAATAAAGTGGATTGGCTATCTAACAAACTGGTACGCGAATGGGATCACGGAAGGCATACATATATATATATATATATATATATATATATATATATATATATATATATATATATATATATATATAAGTATGATTTATTCAATAAGTATCATTAAATGCAACTGACAAATGAAAAATGAATTTATTTGGCACATCATTATTTATCAATTTATTTTACATAGTGACACTTTAACTGTCTCAGCAGTGCATTGGTAAAGAGTTTTGTTTGTTTACGTACTTCACTTATATGATCGATTGATTTACTACAGGTATATATTTTTATTTTTCAATATAGTATGTAATATGATCTTTCCAATTAACTTTGTTTAGGAAACTAATAGATCAAAACTGTTGAAGATAACTGAAAGATTACAAATATATTTTAGATCGGTTTATCTGAGAGGCCGGCTCTGTATACAACAAACTTCAAACAAATCTATTCACCAATATAAGAAAATAATAGTTTTTATAGATATTAGTGTTTTTAGGTT